AGAGCCCCGGGAATGTTCCCCTGGAGAAGGGAAGGATCCAGGCAGAGCTCAGAGCCCCTGGCAGGGCCTGAAGGGCTCCAGGAGAGCTGGAGAGGCACTGGGGACAAGGGATGGAGGGACAGGAGCCAGGGAATGGCTCCCACTGCCAGAGGGCAGGGATGGGTGGGAGGTTGGGAATTGGGAATTCCTGGCTGGGCTGGAATTCCCAGAGCAGCTGGGGCTGCCCCTGGATCCCTGGAGGTGCCCAAGGCCAGGCTGGAGGAAATGGCACAGTGGGAGGTGTCCCTGGCACAGCAGGGTGGGATGGGATGGGCTCATTCCAGATGATTCTGGAATATCCCCAGGGAGAAAACTCCATTCAGGGCTTGGGCAGTGCCCAGGGAAGTTCTGCTCCTGTCCAGCTGGAATTTCCTGGGATCAGCTCCTGCCTTTTGTCCCACTGCTGGCATCACCTTCCTCTGGGCACAGCTCCCAGAGCTGCCCCGGGCCGTGCCCAGGTGAGACCTGGCCAGGAGCATCCCTGGAGCTCCTGTGCCCAGCCAGCCCCAGCACAGAGGGAATTCTGCCCTGGCCTCCCAGCCCAGCTTCCCAGAGCCACCAGAACCAAGCATTCAGGAGGAATTTTGGTAGAGGAACTCCAGGAATTCAGGCTGGGGATGCTTTTCCCTGTGTCTGCAGCCATGCCAAGGCTCCCTGATGGTTTTGGTTGCTCCCCAAGGTGGGGCAGCTCCAACACTTCCCCTCGTGCTCCAGCAGCCAGGGAAAGGGTGGCCGAGCTTCTCCTGCTTTCCCTTCAGCGCTGGCTCCCCAAGGCTTGGCCCAGCAGCTGGAGGACTGCTTGGGTTGGATTTCCTGCCTGCTGCAGGTCCCAGATGATGTCACCCCCAGGATATTTATCCTGCTAATGAAAGGCAGATGGTTCCTCTCTCATTTCCCTCCTCGGAAGGGGAACTACAAAACCCTTCCCCTGCAGAGGAGCAGGAGCAGCAAAGCCGAGCCCGTGGAAGCTCCTGCAGAGGGGAAGGGTCTGCGAGGGGGTGGCACAGGGGGGAGGGAGCTGATGCTGAGATTTGGGGTGAGGAGGATGAGGAAGAGAGCAGGGTTTCACCAGCAGCACGGGAAAACCAACAACCAGCAAAGCCAAGGCTGACCCTGGGCTGGAACTCAGAGTTTGAGGTTCCTTTCCTCACCCAGATCTGACAGAGAAACGTTTCTGTTAAAGGACAATTCCATAATTTTTTAATATTTTAGAGCCATGGACCTGCTCCCAGGGCTGGAGCCCCTCTAGAGCCAGGCTGGGAGAGCCCCGGGAATGTTCCCCTGGAGAAGGGAAGGATCCAGGCAGAGCTCAGAGCCCCGGGAATGTTC